GGCCTGGGAAATGGCCTTTATACACCTCATCCTCTCCTCCTGCTTTCGCACCTCGTTGACTACCAGCTTCCTCCTTTGAGCTGGGCCTGCCTTGTGCCATTTAGGAGGAGCTAAACTGAGCCCAAAACCCCCTCTTCCATGCTGTACCTGTCCCACGATATCCCCAATTTGAAGGTCAGCCTTTGCCTCTACTACAGATTTCTTTGCTGACCACTTTCTTCCAGTTTTAACACAGGGGCTGCCTCCCTTTCACATTTGTCACGTGACTCTACAAAGGTCATTTCCAGTCTGACCTTGGCACACTTAAACTCCTCGGCTAAAGCAGAGACTGGCAGCTGCAATATTCCTTTACTATAAAGTCCCACTCTGCTGAGGCAGCGTGGAACTCCCAACCATTTCCTGATGTATGAACTTATTAACGCTTCCAGCTTATCCACTGTTGTCAAACAAACCTCGTACACGGTCAGTGGCCACAGCAACCTCGGCAGTAGACCAAACTGAAAGCACCAGAGTTTTAGTTTGCCTGGTAGAGCACAGCTGTTTATGCTCTTCAACCCTTCCACTGCTTGTCGTCTAACTTCTCCCACTCGAACTGCGTCCTTTAGATCCCCATCGTACCATCTCCCTAGACTTTTCCCTGGCTTCTCAGAAACTGTTGGTATTGCCTCATCATTAATGAAGAATGTTTTATCTACTACATTTCCTTTAACTATCGAGATGCTCCTTGATTTAGAGAGCTTAAATTGCATTCGTGCCCATTCAATATTATCTGTTAACTTCCCCAATAACCGAATAGTGCAGCTACTGTTGTAGTCATGGTTGTCATGTCATCCATGTATGCTCTGATTGGTGGTAGTCGCATCCCAGAAGCCAAGCGCTCTCCTCCTATTACCCATCTTGATGCCCTAATGATTACTTCCATTGCCATGGTAAAAGCCGGTGGAGAAATGGTGCATCCTGCCATTATTCCAACCTCTAAGCATTGCCATGCAGTGCTGAATTTTGGAGTTGAGAAACTAAATAGCAAATCTCCAAAATAGGCTTTCACTAAATTTGTTATTGACATTGGTACTCTGAAAAAATCAAATGCTGCCCAAAGAAGCTCATGTGGCACTGAACCATATGCATTAGCCAAATACAGGAATGTCACATGGAGCTCCTTCCTCTCCTTTTTAGCTGACTGAATTTGTTGCCAGATAACATTGATGTGTTCTAAGCATCCTGAGAACCCTGGATGCCCGCTTTTTTAACTGAAGTGTCAATGAAGCCATTCTTTAATAGGTAGGTGGACAATCTCTGGGCAATAATGGCGAAGAAAATCTTACCTGCAACATTTAGTAGTGAAATAGGACGAAACTGACTGATGCTTGTAGCATCTTTTTCTTTAGGTATAAAGACTCCACCTGCTCTGCGCCATGCTCTAGGTACAGCCTGTTTTTCCCATGCCACTTTTATCAATTTCCACAGAATTTGCAGAACTCCTGAAGCACTCTTGTACACTCTGTACGGAACTCCATTAGGCCCTGGAGATGATGAAGCCCTTGCCTTTCTCACAGCCTGCCTCCATTTGGTATTCTGGTGGGTTGATAGGTGGTATGTCTGATGGAATTGACATAGGCTCATGCCTTTTTGCATCTGTATGCGTTTCCTCCAAATATCTCTCTAGCTCAACCCTAGATGCTTTTAAAGTGCCATTCTTCTCCCTGGTGAATAACTTTTGAATGGGTCGAATAAACGAATTTGAATGGGTCTTTATAGAAATTAGCCCTCGCACGTTTCACGATTCTTGCTGTCCTGGCCTGTCTTGAAGAGGAGCCATTACCTGTGTACCTACCATTGTCCAGTCTGGAACCGAGCCGCTAAAGACGTAAGCTACTCATCTCCCGCTGCCTTGATCTGTTTAGAAGAGGAGCCATTACTTGTACACTCACAGTTGTTCGGCCTGGAGCCGATTCTTGCTGTCCTGGCCTGTCTTGAAGAGGAGCCGTTACCTGTGTACTCACCATTGTCCGGCCTGGAGTCGATCCGTTAAAGATGGGAGTCATTCGTCCCTTGATGTTCTGATCTGTCTTGAAGAAGACCAGTTATCTGCTTATTCGCCATTGTACAAGTTGAAGAGGAACCCCCAGCCACGTACTTACCTCAGACGTGTACGTCTCGATCGGAGAGGGGGAAGACCAGGATTCTGAGAAGAGGAAGAAGCCGATTGAGCGATTCTTTATTTTAAGAAATACTTTTAATTCAATAAAGAAGAACTTTGTAGCTGTTCTCTGATTGTCTGGTCTGGTGGTGTTCTCTGCTAGCTCCTCGAGGTGGTACGGCTTACAGGGGCAGTGCGCGAAGGGTCGGTCAACTGCCCCGGCCTGTGACAGATTTGGCGCAGTCGGCAGGATTTCCACCTTGAGTTGAGTGACCAGAGACCCCTAATGGCAGACGAAGATTTGCCGGTTGGCCGGCCTCAAGTTACGCCTATCTTTATGGGTGCTCCTTGGGCCCAGAGATATGGGGGACCAGGGTCAGAATTGAGCTTATCGGAATGGAAGGCCCAGGTCGAGTACCTGGCGGGACTTCCGGGGTTGAGCGCCCCACAGAAGTTACAGTTCATCCTGAATTCGCTGGAAGGCGAGGCCAAGAGAGAGGTGCAGGCCGCACCTGAAGTGACCCAAGCTACGGCACAAGCTATCTTTGATTTCCTGGCCGGTCAGTACGGCAACGCCACTCCAGTAGCTGTCCTACGAACTCAGTTTTTTAACTGCAAGCAGGGACCCCGGCAACCCCCACGGTCCTTCGCACTTCGACTATGGGAGCAGTTTACCAGGCTGAAGGGGAGACGTGATCATGGTCTGGGAGAAGAGGAGGCCCTGTTGCGTGACCAATTTTTCCTGGGGCTCCGGGAGGGCTCTGTTCATCCAAGCTTGCGTGTGCAGCTCTGCCGGGACCCCGAGCTGACGTTCGAGGATTTGCAGAGAGAGGCCTTGGCTTTGGAGTTAGACCACACGAGGACGGTAGATCCCTCCTTTTGCATGGCCGCTAGTGGAACGAGCGATTCTACCCCTTCTGGGCTGTCCGATTGGAAGCATACCTTACGCGCTGAACTCATGAAAGATGTCCGTGAACAAATGACCGAGATGTCGAAGACCCTTCTGGAGGAGCTCCGCCGGGGACGGCCAAATCCTTTGACTTTGCCCCGGGAACGTTCTTATTCAGACGGGAGTCGAGACCCAGGAAGACGCCCATTGCGGCCTGCCGGCCCTAAATTCCAGTGGGACGAACAGGGTCGCCCAATTTGTAATGGCTGTGGAGAGCCTGGACATTATAGTCGCCAGAGCGGCTCTCGCCGCGGTTCCCAAGAGGGTTTTTAGAGTTGCCGGCCACTGTGGGTCAAGTGGTCGGGACCCCCTGGATGGACCCTTCTTTGTCTACTGTCCCTAGAGACAGTTTGGTTGGGCATTGCCCCTTGTGGAAATTCAGGTGATTAGTGTCAAGGTCCGGTGCCTAGTAGATACCGGGTCCCAAGTTACCCTATTCTCCGAAAGCCTGTCTAAAGAATTGTTCAACGCCCAACGCTTGCAAGAGGCAGAGGCTCCTTGGCTTACTCTGCGAGGGGCAAACGGTCTGGACATCCCTTACATTGGATACCTGGTCACAGACTTTGAGATCCATGGGGTCACCGTACCGCAGAAGGGAGTCGTGATTGTCCGAGACCCTTGCTTGGGGACGCATCGAGCCCTTCTGGGCATGAATGTTATTACGGATTGTTGGGAGGAATTGTTTCAGGCTAGGCCCATTCGAGCCGCTCCGCCCGCCGAGTAACAGGAGTGGGAACGCATTGTGGCCGATTGCCGCCGGATCCACACGGTCAGTTCCCAAAGGGACCGAGAAGATACCGGCCGGGTGGCTTGTCGATATGCCCTGTGTGTTCCGGCCCGGAGCAAGGCTGTTATTTGGGCCCGGTTGCCCGCTCGGACTTATGGACCGGAGGACTGGGTCCTCGTCGAACCCCATTGGGACTGTCAGAGCGTAGAGGTGGCTCGAGGACTAGCTGTGGTCCGTAGGGGCAGAGTCTCTGTGAGAGTAAGAAATGTAAATCCCTATCCCGTCAACCTGTACCGCCATCAACGTCTGGCCCAAGTTACCTTGGTGAGCCCCCAACAAGTGAGAGAAGGCGGGGGGGTTAGATTCTGTCAAGTAAGCTCTACGGTGGTCGAGGTGGCTCTGGAGCGAGTGGACCAGCCCGTGGACTGTACTGGAGAGGGGATGCCGGCTCATCTTCGGGAGAATCACTGCGAGGAGAGGGGCTGGAAGAGAGTCAGGCACAACAGCTGCAGGATTTCCTGGCGAAATGGCAGCATGTTTTTTCCACACACGACGAGGATCATGGCTGTACCGACGTTGTGAAACATCAGATTCCTACCGGTGATGCCGCACCAAGGCGGGAGCGGTATCGTCCGGTGCAGCCAACTCTCTATTCGGAGGTTCGTACCCTATTGGGGTGGATGTTGGAGAAAGGGATTATTCGGGAGATCAGTAGCCCTTGGGCAGCCCCGATCGTCCTGGTACGAAAGAAGACCGGAGCCTGGAGGTTCTGTGTGGACTACCGTAAATTGAACCAAGTAACCAAGAAGGACGCCTTCCCACTGCTGCGGATTGAGGACTCTCTCAACTGTTTAACTTTAGGGGAGTTGAAAAAAATTCCTTTAAATAAGTGATCAAAACAGCAGGAATGATCTGAAATTGGGAATAATCACTAGCACTAGTGACTAACTTTTAGATTTGCTTGGAACAACACTCCATAGTTTTGATCTCCAGGTAGCTATGCTTGTAGATGCAGCTAAAATTTAGATGAATTACAACAATCTAACAATAATTTTTGAAGGTCTTTACATTGTAGAAAGGGGAGCGTCACCCAAGTCTACGTTTACATAACACTGTACTGAGACAACTTCATCAGAAACAGATTAATAAAGATTGTCTGTTGTTCTTAAGAATTTAAGTAAAGATAAAGGATGGAGCAAGATTTATTTTGCAAATTTTAATGTTACATTAGTCATTCATGTCACGTTAGTGCTTGGCTAACCTTTGCACTTATTGATTACAGTTAATACAGTTCCCGCATGTGTACTGCAATAAATTAGAAATATACACATCGGTTTGATGATGGATAAACACTTGTTAATGCTGATGGTGAGAAATTACAGTTAAACATCTCATAATGTGCCACAAGCCGGAGCCTTAACTCCTTTTTAACGCCTTTGTTTTATTGAATCTTCTTTCTTCGTACTGGACTGTTGCGCAATGACTGGTGATGTAGAACTGAGTAATGTACAGATAATAACAACTGAAGATGTCCACTTCCTTTGGACAGGAATTTCACTTGATATGGCAGAAAACTCTGTGAAGTTCACTTTGCAAGTCATTTCTGGAGTTCAATTTTGCACATTATATATGTGTCCCTAATTAAACACATCTGATTCAACTCATCAGCTCTTTATAAGAAACTCTAGGACATGAAATGGGTGTCTGACAAAGGAAACATTCAAAATGTGCAGTTGAGAGCGTCCTCCAGGAACAAGGTTGAGAAACACTGCTTTAGATAATAAATCAATTATTACAGAAGTTTTGTTCTGTTAAACTTGCACCAAATCGATGTGTGATGTTCTCTTCTCACAGATCCCTTTAAAAGCTGAATTACATGCAATATCAAGCCAGCCGGATAAAGTTGGCCACCTTTGGTTATGATCCACATTCACAGCACAGTTCTCTACTGTATGTCCATTAGGCTCATCAGTCGCCCAGAACCTGAAAATACAGATCCGCATTAGATGTTCAGTGATGCTCTCTGTGTGATATGATACCGAATGCGAGAATCATTTATTAGATAATAATCAGTTGAGTTCAGTGATGTCTCACCCAGAGGTCAGTGTGCTGTTATCAACCCATTTCCATCTGCCCTCCGCATCACTGTCCGTCAGACCAATCCAGACTATACCAGAACCATACGTGTTCTTCACAAAATCCTGAGCAGATGAAACAGTTGCGTATTTCTGTAACGCTTTAGATTACAGCCAGCAAAGTACAGCGAAAGTAAAACAAATACGGCATACCTTTCTGTAATTACAGTGTACGTGTAGGTATAAGGGATCAATATATATAAAGTTTAGGGAATAAAGGGGTAACAACCAGGAAAATTATCACAATATTTATACTGTACTATACTACAATTTTTTTTAAATTACACACACACACACACACACACACACACACACACACACACACACACACACACACACACACACACACACACACACACACACACACACACACTCTCTCACACTCACTTGTTTCTCTGTATTGTTTATGATGATCAGATCTGCTCCTCTCTCTCTCTACAGTATCTTCTGCTCTCAGTCCAGCTCTTCGTCTCACTCGGCATGTAGTACAAACTGGATTTGTAGTAAGTCCATCCATCTGTAAACAAGCAGTTTAGCGGTTAGCTTTTTATTCCCATTTACACTCACCTGTCAGTAACTTAACAGATAGTAAACTCACAGAATATAACACTGAAAGTTACTGAGAGCACAACCCAACTCCATCATGCTTTAACAGTGTCTGCTGTTTAGAAAATAACTACATAGATTAAAGAAACTTTACCATGACTCTGAAGATGATTTCTTAGCTGGTCTCTCTCATTGGTCAGGTATTTGTTCTTTATTATTAGCCCATCTCTCTCTTCTGTGAGATTGGTAATGTTGTTTAGCCCATCTCTCTCTTCTGTGTAGTTTGTGCTCTTTGTGTGGATGTGGACACACAGCACTATGACTGCAGTCAGCAGAAGAACACACAGCAGAACCAAACACACTGTTCTGGAGCTTCTGATCTTCACACAAACACTTCCTGAACACCACAGATATGAAGATATTAATTACTCGTATTACTCAAATGTGTGTGATAAGGTAAAATGAATCTCAGTACCTGTGTGTTGAGGAGTTTGGTGTCTTTTGGTGTCCGAGTTCTCTGTTTCTCCCCCGACATTAAAACTATTTATAGGATCAGTATTAGCATAGATATTCATCTCTTCTTCATCTTCTCTGTCCATCACATGGTTCCTGGGAATTTTCATATTGTCGTAATAAGACATTCAATCTGCTGGTGTTAAGAAATTATTATTAGTTGTTTCTTCAAGTGGAAATCACTATTATTCTGAACTTCTGCTTTTGAGCTTTTGCTTTTAGACCACTGTGGTCAAGAACATGTTATATCCTGTTAGGATGCGGAAAAAAACCGCTGACTGCTGAAAATAACTCGTGTAGTCATTTTCTGCAGAAAAGTTGCTCTTGTAAAAATGTACTCCTTCACTACAGTTATAATCTTTGTATAACAAAAACATTAGTTGAGAAATAGTTGCATTTATTATGGTGAACAATACCACCCAATTTATATATTAAAATATTTATGATTTTTCAGAACACTATAGGAACTAGGAAACAGTATAGCAACCAGTGTAATTTATTACGAGAAGTGAGAATGAACTGAAAGAAACACAGGGCTTAAATACACAGGTGAATGAAACCAAATTAACAACAGGTGTAACATAACCAAATCAACGAGAAACCATAGCAACAAACTGAAAACTAGGTCTCAGCATATTTTAACTAAACACATACATATACATTTCCATGTAACCTAGAAAGCAACAACAAAAACATGATGTACAGTGAGTCTAAGCCGTGCATTAATTTGAACGGTGACAGCTATTATGGGAGTGGCTTGATGTAGGCAGGTGTTCTTGATGTTCTTGACTCTTAATAAACTAGGTAAAATTAAATTCATTTCTAATTGCTAAAACATTAAAATAAAAATGTAAAGCCTGTACAATCGTGAAAAAATGGAAATTATCGGGAATCATGTAACAAACAGTACACATTTTATTTATTCATAACCATTATAACTTTTGTTGTTCTGGTCGCTTGGCTGTTTATTAAGTTTTTCGTCAGGTGTGTGATTTTCCTTTTTACTGATGTCATAATGTTGCTGTCTTGCCGACCGCCAGCCAATCGCTACATTCAGGGCTTGACATTAACTTTTTTGCTCACCAGCCACTGTGGCTTGCGGTTTTCAAAATTACTAGCCAGTATTTTCACTGGCCACAGGTTTGACATCAATACCAAAGGGAAAACTGCCATATAGATATTTTTAATATTATCTCCTAATATTACCTAATTTGGGACTGCAGCCTGTATATTAGGCTACTGTCACTTTAAGCTCGACTCACAGACCCATATAGCCAATAGGCTTATACTTGTCTTTATGTGCGGGCACTTTGGGTGTAAGTGAGCACAAAATCTGCGGCAATGAGTAAAATTATGCTGTACACGCGCAATCCTACCGTGAAATTCAAGCTCTGTAACACCAACAATATTCATCTTCATTCATTGTGTGTAACTTTAGGTTACTTACGTAACCCCGGTTCTCTGATAACATGAATGAGACTATGGGAACGCCTCTGGGCATGAAAGATCCTAAAAGCACTAATCACACCACGTCTGTCAGTTGACCAATCACGACAGTGATGCGGGAGTCCCACCTCCCTAATATATACCACTGCCGGTGGTCCCTACTTCATTCTCTGCATATCTCTTCTCCTTCTCTTTCAAACATTTGCTCAGTATCTCACTATGGGATATAGACAACTCCCGTATTGCAGATATGCTGTCTGAAGCAGGCATTGCAACCAACTCAGTAATGTATGTAACATAAACAAACCAAAACGAGTGTTGCTTGATTTTTTTTTTTTTTTTTTACACACTTAGGACGGAATGAGTCATTGATGGCTCAGTGACATCCAGTCTATAAAATCGGACAAATGTGTGAGGCGAAGCCCAACTTGCTGCTGCACATGTGTCCTGAACTGAAACGCCCTTAAATGGTGCCCATGAGGTAGCCAAACCTCTAGTAGAATGAGCCCTCAGCCCTTCCGGAGGACAGAGACCCATGCCATTATAACCTAATATAATAGCTTCCACTACCCAGTGGGACAGGCGCTGACGCAAAATAGGTATACCTTTATGAGAATCAGCCCATGAAACAAATAACTGATTACTCTTCCTTAGTGCTTTCGTTCTGTCCACATAGTGACACAACATACGGACAGGGCACAAGCAATGAAGCCGCATATCCTCTGACGAGAAAAAAGGATGTGGATAGAAAGCCAGTAAATCCACCTGTTTACAGGCAAGAGCTGACTCGCTAACTTTAGGCACAAACGCTGGATTCGTTTTGAGAGTTACTCTCGAGTAATCCATAGCGAACTGCATACAGGAGTTATGAACCGATAAGGCGTGAAGTTCACTAACCTGCTTTGCGGTCGAAAGAGCCAATAATAAAGCAGCCTTTAGCGAAAGGAGTTTTAATCCAACAATCTCTATAGGCTCAAAAGGCGGCTGAGATAATGTGGTAAGGACCACAGACGGATCCCATGGCAGAATCAATGGCTTTGAAACCCTGTCAAACGCTGTGCACCTCTCATAAACCTGCATACAAACCGGTGTTGACCTATAGTGTTTCCGTCAATCCCCACATAAGTCATGACACGCGGAAATTGCGGCAAGATAAACCTTAACAGTTGAAAAGGCTCTGCCCTTATCCAAAAGTTCCTGCAGAAAACATAACACATCCGTGACAGAACAGAGAAAAGGAACAATGTTTCTGTGTGCTCACCATCGCTCAAACACAGTCCATTTCCGATCATATGCAGAGCGCATTGAAGCTGCTCGTGCGTTCTGAATTGTTTCAATCACCCTCTGAGGCAAACCCTTCACACTCAAGTTTAACCTCTCACGGGCCAGGCCCAGAGAGCCACTTTGTCTGGGGCTGGGTGAAAAATCTCCCCGCGTGCTTGTGAGAGAAGGTCCCTGCGCAACGGGAGAGGCCAAGGCTGGTCGCAAAGGAGTTGAATTATCTCCGTCAACCACAACTTCCCTGGCCAGTTCGGGGCAATCATTATGACTGAGTGACTGTACTCTCTTATCCTTCTTAAAGTTGGAAAAATCAGACTCAGTGGACGAAACGCTTACAGTAGTGCGTTTAGCCACGGGTGCGCCAGAGCATCCACACCCATAGGCGCACAGTCTCTCGCCGGTGAAGAGAAGAATAGAGGACACTGAGTGTTTTCGTGCGAGGCGAAGAGATCTACGGCAGCTCTGCCAAACCTCTCCCACAACTGGCTCACAACCTGAGGGTGGAGAGTCCATTCTCCATTCAGAGGATTTCCTCTGGACTGGAGACCCTCCCCCACATTCATTATTCTCGGGACATGGGTTGCCCGTTGTGAATGAAAATGCTTCATGCCCCACACGATTAGTTTCCGTGCCAGACTGTGAAGCAGATGGGAACGTGTGCCTCCCTGGCGATTTTTGTATGCCACCACCATTGTGTTCTCTGATCTGATCAAAATGTGGTGGTTCATTAGAAACCGCACAAAATGTTTCAGTGCCAGAAACACTGTTAACAGTTCCAGGAAATGTGTTCAATTCAATTCAATTCAAATCACTTTCATGTCCAAGGGGCCATTTAAATGACACAAAGAGCAGAATATATTCAACTACACATAAAATAAATAAATAGATAAATAGTAATATATAAAAAATAAGAATAAAAATTGGATAGGATGAGTGCATCAGTCTATGGCATGTTTTAGTGCAGTTCAAAGATTTGGGGGGCAGACGGGGGCTGGAGTTTAGTAGCAGGACAGCCCTGGGGACAAAGGTCACCTCCCTCTTCTGGGTCTTACAAGCTTGACAGCGGAGTCTGCGCCTTGAGAGGAGCCACTCAAACATAAAAAAACATAGCATGTAATGGATCATGAAGGATCCTACAGGCAGTCTTCAAGGTTTGCTGTTCACATAAGATGGACAGAGCTCTCAGGGGGTGTCCAATAATTCTGGAACACACTTTAACAATTTGATTTTAGCAGTTTCTGTTTTGAAGATTAATGGAGTAAAACCAACAAGTGAAGGAAACGGTTATCACACTTTCAATAAATGAGTAGTAAAATGTTTACATCAAATGTTTATGTGTGCGTTTTGTAGCGAGACGGGCCATTTCCCCATTCGCTATCCTGCCCTCGCACACTGCACCCCAACCTGTGAGCGACGCATCCATCGTAACCACCTTTCTCAGAGAAACTGCTCCTAGTGGAGTCTCTGACTCAGGAAAAAAATATCTCCACTGACGGAGAGCGCGCATGCAGAGTGACATCACTTTCACTTTGCGGTTGAGGTGGCGTTTTGGACACAAGCCCCGCGCCGCCGTCCAGTGCTGAAACTCCCTCATTCGCAACAGTCCCAGTGGAATGACAGAAACTGTCGATGCCATCAGCCCCAGTCGACATAAACACAGTCTGAATGAAACTCTGTTTCCTTTCTGAAAAAGGGAAAGGCAGCCGCGAATTGACCTGATGCGCTCCTCGGACAGAAAAGCTTGATAGAGGTCCGAGTTCAGTCTGAGACCCAGGTAAATTATCTCTTGTGTGGGCACCAAGCAGCTTTTTTTTTGTCTCGTTTATCTTGAAGCCTAAGCTCTCAAAATGAGACACGAGCATATTTGTCTCTCTCTCTGCCTGTTGCTATGACGGCGCGCACAGCAACAGATCATCCAAATATGCTGACACTCTTAGACACATTACTCTCAGCGGTGTGACCACTGCTTCCACACATTTGCTGAAAACCCTTGGAGCAAGGACAAGCCGAATGGGACTGACAAAAACTCGTAGGCTGTGTCCCCAAGGCAAACCTAAAAAAATTCTGTGAGCCGGGTAGATGCTTATGTGAAAATATGCATTCTTCAGATCGACTGACGTAAGCCAGTCCTTGGGACGAATAATTTGAGATAACGTCTTTAAGGTCAACATTTTGAATTTTCTGAGGTATTTGCTGAGGTTCCGTAAATCCAGAATGGGACAGAGATCCGATGCACTGGATGCAGAGGGAACAGAGGGAACTAAGGGCTGTTAAAGCAGATATAAATTAGAAGTAAATTCAGGAGAAAGCCAGGACAAGCAGTCACTCTGCGAGAACGTCAAGAGCGCGTAAGTTGTTTTTTCTTAATATCCAGTTCTCCTGTTGCTCTGTTTACCATTTGTCAAGTAAGTAGGGCTATTTTCGATTCTTTGCTTCT